TTGAAGATATTTATGCCTGGCCAAACACCGGGGCTGGGGGCTGGGCTCCTGCCGGCTGCCCCTCGCCGAGCCTGCCCGGCTTTGTAGAGGCAGCTGCCTGTTGCTATGCGATTTGGTTACAGGAGGGCAATGCAGGGCACCTAACCCAAGTGCTTTTTTAACCAAACCACTTGCTTATTAAAAGAATGGAGAAAGTTTCCATTAAAATATCTGGGCTGATTACATTTGGAAACTTAATAACATGTGTTGACTCAAATAACTCCCATTGAACTGAGCCCCAGCAGGGCTCAGGGTTCACCAGGGGAACAAATATCTCTGATGAAGCTTGGCATCTTAACCCTGTTTAACATTTTAATTAAGAAGGAAAAATTCGGTGTCATTTGCTTTTCTGTGGTCTCCAGGAGCGGCAGGGTTCTCGCTTGAGAATTCCTCCAAGAGTCCAGCGGAAAGAAATACATTAGCTAATTAGGGGTGATACAAAACATCTATATACAAGACATATACGCTCCCGCTCTGCTTTGTCGGCCAGCTTTTCCACTGCCCGCCCCTTTGCAGGCTGATTTCTTAGAAGAGGATGCATGAGTATACTTTTTTTCTTCTTTTAAATACTGTTAATTGAGAGTTAAATTGTTGCTTGACTCTTTTACTCTACCCTGCCAGACAGAGGCGAGGAGAAAGCATCACGCTACAGCCCTGTTTCTGGGAAATGGTCAGAATACAGTTACTTTGGAAAATAGATCCTCAAGTCCTCGTTTGATAAACAGCAAAACTCATCATTTTCACTAGTATCTCCTTTTTCTAGCCAGGAGGGGCACTCTGGGAAATGCTTCTGCTGATAGCTCAGTTACACAGAAGAACGTATCTTCCTTGTTTTGCAAATGAGCTTGCAAAATGGGGTTTGAAACAGCAGAGGCGGTCGCGTCTACACCACACTTGGCTGGCCTGCTGGGTTTGTCCCTGTTCTCAAAAAGGAAAGAAAACACAGCTCATTGAAATAAGAAATAGTAGAAAATCCATTTCACCAGAGGATGTGTAGAGATTTTTCAGTATATTTCCAAATCCAAAAAGTAACCAGCAGAGGTTCTTCTTTATTTATTTATTTTGGTTTGCTTTGCTTTGAAACACTCAACCCCGAGTTTCTGTTCATTTTAAGGCCGGTTCTCCTTTGGATGTCCCTTCATCTACAACCCAGTCCTGTGCTGCCATTTCCTTCCTGGGAATCCTCCCTGCCCTGTTTGGCCTGCTGTCTCTTTCATGCCCCAGGGAAAGCCATACTCCATCACCGCCTCTGCCCCGGACCCAAAACGGATGAGGAACAACTGAACTATGTGTTAATTGCGTTAAAGCGCTTTCTCTAATGCAATAGTGGCCTTCTCCATAGCAACCGTGATTAAAAGATGCAGAATGGCGGGTCCTCCAGGCCCTGTCTGTCTGGGAAGTGATTGCCACTTTATAGAACAATTCAGTCCAGAGAGAAGTTTATTGTGCACATTTCGCCTAAGCTGACTGCTCAGGTCACCCTCCCCAAAGCCTCTTTCTCTCCCTCTGAGCGCTATTTTCAGGCTGGTCTGGGGGAGGGAGCCACGGGAAATTTGCCGCCTGGGTTGGGGGTGGTAGATGGGAGCTGTGCGGCGTTGCAGGTGGGGGGTGGGGAGAGAGAGAAGAGAGGCGCCCTCACTCCCATTCAAGGGGTGAGGAAGAAAACAATCCCAAGCTTGCAGCCTGAATGTAAGTCATCGCCAAAGAAGCCCCATGCTTCATTAAGCATCTTTAAAACTGCCCATTGAGATGCCCAGAGGGGGTAAGGTAAATTCTCTTTCCATTTTTGTGCATCTTTCTAAAGCACACAGCATTCCTATTTTATACACTGTGGGGTAAGTGATTTTCAAAGTTGGAGGGAGGGGGGAATTAAACATTATCTGGACTACAACACACAGGATGGGGTGAGATAATCATCCCAGCAGATTGCAGGATCTCCAAGGGAGGGGCGAGGGGCATCCGTGAGTCCCCACTGCTTTATCTTCCTTCTTCCATGCCCCCGTTCCTGTCCTCCTCTCCTGCCCATAGGGTGAACCAAAAGTCCAGAGGCTCCTCTCACCCACACATGTGATGCTGAGACGCAGAGCTTACACACAGCCCCACACTTGGGATGCACACGTGCGGAACTGCCAAAGACTGCACTGCAGCCACCAGGAACTAAGACTGGCCAGGAGGCATCCAGGGAGCTAGAGACACATTCTGGAATATTAAAAGACACTAAACATAATTGTGATTTCAAAATCCAAACTCAAGCTTGCACACATCCAAAAATATGTTCTTACAATAGAAACGGATTTTAAAGTGTCCAATTTCAGAGGCCAAGCTCTGGAATTTGAAGGCCCAGGTTTGAATCTTGGCTCCGGCTGCTTGGCCATGTGACCTCAGGCAAGTTACTGAAACTTTTAGGGCCTCAGTTTCCCTATTTGTAAAATAGAGATGAGAATAACACCTATATTGTACAACTTTTAGGAGAATTAAAAGAGAGAATTATGTAAAGCACTCATTTCCTGACACATGGCAAGTGCCCAGAAACTACTACTAATAATAATAGTTATCATTATTATTACACAAGAGTAGTGCTCTATGTCTGTACAGCGCTCTGTGATTCACTTACCTCACCTCTGGTAATCTTCCTGATGAGCCTGTGCTATTCTGTTTTTTTTTTTTTTTTTTGAGACAGAGTCTCACTCTGTTACAGGCTGGAGTGCAGTGGCACAGTCTCGGCTTAGGCCAACCTCTGCCTTCCAGTTCAAATGATCCTCATGCCTCAGCCTCCGGAATAGCTGGAATTACAGGTGTGCACCACCACACCCAGCTATTTCTTTTCTTTTTTTTTGTATTTTTAGTAGAGATGGGGTTTTGCCATGATGGCCAGGCTGGTCTCAAATTCCTGGCCTCAAGTGATCCGCCTACCTCACTCTCCCAAAGTGTTGAGATTACAGCGCGTGACCCTTCCTATGCTATTCTGACAAGCCCTCTTTATGCCTTGCCAGAGGGAGGTAAAGCCCCCTTCTCCAGGTGTTGGCAGGCTAAGCAGAAAAGGCCGATTGCTGATACAAAACAAACAGAACTCCAACCTCCAAACTCCAGTGCTAGGGACCAGGATTGTTCTGGACTATGGGATACAGTTCTGCCCCGATACAGGTTGGGGCTCGCAGTTCAGGGTGCACTCGGGACATGGAGGTTAAAGCGAGGGGACACGGCAGGGGTGGCTGCCCAGGCCGAGGAGGCCATGCTTCTCTGGCAGCGTCACTTCTATTTTTATTAACAAAAATTTAAAAGATAGCCAACATCAAGGGCCTTGGAGTGCTTAGATTTCTCTAGGAAATAAAAATGCCATTTATACTGGCATAAAGTATAATTTTTCACACTTTTGAAAGTGTCTGAAGAAAATTGGATGAAGACCACAAATCTAAATATTTATAGTGCCAAGAAATTTGTGTTAATGTGATATTTATTTTCGACTTTAGAAAATAATTCATTAGTATTATTACTATGTTAGTAATACTATTTCCCAAGGAAATCTCTGAATTCTAAACAAAAGCTGATACACAAGTTAATTTAGGCAAAGGGCCTCCCAGTTACACTTTGTACACTGGCCACCGTCTTCCTTTTTTTTTAAGATGGAGTTTCACTCTTGTTGCCCAGGTTGGAGTCCAGTGGTGCAATTGCAGCTTAATGCAACCTCTGCCTCCCGGGTTCAAGCAATTCACCTGCCTCAGCCTTCCAAGTAGCTGGGATTACAGGCATGCACCTCCATGCCCGGCTAATCTTGTTTTTTTAGAAGAGATGGGGTTTCACCATGTTGGCCAGGCTGGTCTCAAACTCCCGACCTCAAGTGATCCATCCGCCTTGGCCTCCCAAAGTGCTTGAATTATAGGCATGAGCCACCATGCCCAGCTGGAAACTGGGATTTTTCATCATGGAGAAAAGAGATAGAGATATAAGTCTGATCTGGTTAAGTAAAATCCCTAGAGTCCTAAAATCTTCAGTGGATTCAAATCCAACAACTATGTTTAAACCCAAGAGTTCATATGGTATTTAAAAAGAAACGCATTGGTTACCTTTCAGACGTTCTAGAAAACCAACTCCTTATTTTGCAAATTGCTAAATGAAAAGGAAAAATGAGGCTTTTCTATATGAACTGCCTTTGGGGTCTCATAGTTGATGAGGGTAGATTATCTCAAGTGTGGTTGGAATAAGAGTTGACTATCACCATTTTCAACCTGTAATTAAATAATGGATCCAGGCGGTCACTAATGGCTGCTAATCTCATAAAAATAGAAACCATCAGACATTTTCTCACTCTTGTTGAAAAAGCACATCATCTGTGAAGGAATCTTATTTTAAAACTTGAACATGGATTTAATTAAGCCTTGAGATCTAAATAGCAATTTACAAAAAGTACAAGGGAAAAAGGAACGTGTTAAATGACATCATGGGGCCACAATCAGCAAAATCTGGACTTTTGGAAACTGTACAGAACAAATGACCAGGTTTCTTCAACAAATAACTTGCAAGGGAAAATAAACGAGGTATAAGGAATTTAGGGATTAAAATAACCTTAAGAGACATATTAACTGATCATGATTATAGATCTAATTTGGATTTGATTTTGAACAAGTTGTGAACAAATTTATAAGACAATTGAAGAAATGTGAACACTGAATGGCTATTCAATGCTATTAAGGAATTATTGATTATTGCAATAAATAGAGATATGATGAAGAGCGCTTATGGTTATTTTAAGAGCCTGTATCTTATAAAGACACATGCTGCAATATTTATCAATAAAATTATGTGTCGTCAGAGTTTGATTCAAAATTCTTCTGGACAGGGTAGAGGAGTCAGGGTAAGGTAAAACGAATGAAGCAGCCCTGAGATGGCATGGTTGAGGTTAAGCAGTGGTACATGGGGGTCATTAGATCCATCTCTCTATATGTTTAAAAATTTTTTTTTCAGGTCAGATGGCGACGTAATATGCCGACGTAAGTTTCAAGGGTGGCACATCTCACACAAGCGCATGAACACCCAATCATCATGTTCATGAACTACAAAAGGATCTTAAAATTTTTTTATTAAGAAAGTTTCCTGGCTGGGCACAGTGGCTCATGCCTGTAATCTCAACACTTTGGGAGGCTGAGGCGGGCAGATCACCTGAGGTCAGGAGTTTGAGACCAGCCTGAACAACATGGAGAAACCCAGTCTCTACTAAAAATACAAAATTAGTCAGGTGTGGTGATGCATCCCTGTGATCTCGGCTACTTGGGAGGAGGAGGCAGGGGAATTGCTTGACCCCAGAAGGCGGAGGTCACAGTGAGCCAAGATTGCACCATTGCACTCCAGCCTGGGTAACAAGAGTGAAACTCCATCTCAAAAAGAAAAAAAAAAAAAAAAAAAAAAAAAAGAGTTTCCTTTGGCTGGGTGTGATGACTCATCCACCACACCTGTAATCCCAGCACTTTGGAGGGTGAGGAGGAAGGATTGCTCAAGGCCAGGAATTCAAGACCAGCCTGGGCAATATAGTGAGACCCAGTTTCTATGTTTATGAAAACACTTTTTAAGTAATTTAAAAAATTTCTCTCTCTCTCTTCTTTTTTAAAGAAATAACCAGCAGTCCCAAGGCTGCTAGTCTCTACTTTCTGGTCTGATATTATCTTGAATGATTCAATTAACATCATTCAATCATCCCTGTAAATTAATAACATTTCAAACTTAGTCACAATTCTTGCATGAGGCTGACATTCCTACAATGTGATAGACTAGCTATTGTCATTTCATCTTATACAAAGCCCTCCTAAAGGAATACACTCTGACCAAAGATACCCAGAGAAGGAAGGATCCCCCTGCCCACATACATACACACAAACACACACACATGCACACCCACGTCTACGACAGGTGCAGATGTGGGGAGAAGGGTATTACAATGACAATTGTTAAATTCCAACGCCCTCCTTTTTACCCTCAAACTCTCAACACTCACACTTTCCTCCTCTGGGATTCTTCGCTGCTAGAGAACTTAATGTGTATTTCAGAGAATAGTAGCACAAATGACATTTTCAAGAGGATGAATTCAGCGTTTCACTTGGAGGTGTCATATAACATATGATGGCTCATACAGACCCTCAGAGGTCTTCCTTCCACCCTCAGCCCATTCACTGTTTTTCTGACCATTCCTCTAGTCTCTCTCTCTACTGTTAGGCTTCTTATGGGTTGTTAGGTTAACCCTACTGTATTCGTCCATTTTCATACTGCTATGAAGAAATACCTGAGACTGGGTAATTTATAAATAAAAAGAGGTTTAATGGACTCACAGTTCCACATGGCTGGGGAGGTCTCACAATCATGGTGGAAGGTGAAGGAAGAGGAAAGGCATGTCTTACATGGCGGCAGGAAAGACAGTGTGTGCAGGGGAGCTGCCCTTTGTAAAACCATCAGATCTCATGAGACTTATTCACTATTACAAGAACAGAATGGGAAAAACCTGCCCCAATGATTCAATTACCTCCCACCAGGTCCCTCCCACAACATGGGGGATTATGGGAGCTACAATTCAAGATGAGATTTGGGTGGGGACACAACCAAACTATATCACCCACTGAGGGCAGTGATGTAACAATAATTTTAGCCTACCAACAAGACATCGTCCCTGTTGCTAAAGTGTTTGTATCATAACTCCCCTGTTACTGCAGAGGGACACTTTCTTGAGGACTGCTCTTTGTGAAGCTGTACTATTTAAATAGCAACATAGAGTCAAATGAACATTCTCATTTACCTTTGGCTATTTTCAATTATTATAAGAGATTGAAAACATAAAGTCATATGTAAATTCATCTGATTGATTGATTGATTGATTGTAGAGATAGGGTCTCACAAGTTTGCCCAGGCTGGTCTTGAACTCCTGGCCTCAAGTGATCCTCCTGCCTTTGCCTCCCAAAGCATTGGGATTACAGGCATAAGTCATCATGCCCAGTTAAATTCATCTTATTTGCAAGGGTAAATAACAATAGATTTATATACGCTGTTAATAATAAGTTAATTGTGTTCTCCAATTCTTTGTAATCATCAACCTTTTTTTCCACTGAAAAGTGAGAAAGAGTGGGATGGGCTGATTTGCTTCATTGGTGATCAAAACTAAATGGGTCCATACTGCCTAAATGCATTCAATGCACAGTCCTAGACTGGAAAAAAAAAAAAGTTGAAAGACATTGTTAGGAAAATTGGTGAAATGTGATGTCCTATAGATAACACCATGTGTCAATGTTTAATTTCCCAAAGGTATGCAGTGGTTCTTTCTACTATTCTTGCAGTTTGTCCAAAAGCTTGACATTGTTTAAAAGTACATCTTAAAAAGCAGTGAGGAATCTGAAACCTGGGCACTGCTGACCCTAGAACCCAGCACTTCCATGGGACAGCCAAGTGCCATCACCTCCCTGCTGTGCCCCAGCCAAATACAACACAGTGCATGTCACATGCCCCATGAGCAATGCGGAGTCTGTGATTCAAGGAGAGGAGAGCATTATATAGCCAAGGAGGAAGTGATTCCTTAAAGGGGCTGCTGAGGGCTGGCATCAAAAGTTAGAGCGATCAGCACTCTCTCAAGCCAGATGCCTGGGGACTTTTATTACCGAAACAAAATAACAGCAATCAAGACAAAACAAATATCTGTGCAGTTTAATCTTTATTTTTACAGGATTTGGCAGGAGCCGGAAGGTCTGGAACAGTAGGCCTTTTTGGGAACTTTGTATTTATTAAAATGGTCTGGACACTGGTTCTTATTATTCTTTCTCTCCCTTTGAAATGGGAATGGAAAGTCTCCTGATAAATGGACAGAGGCATGGTCCAGATTCTCATAACTAAGTGCTCTCAAAATCCCTTTGTGCTCCAATACAAAAATGCATGCTTGAACTTTACCTTCTTAAGAGTCCAGGTAACCCCCATGGGCCATAGAAGCCTGAGGGTGCCTAGGTCTGGAAGCTAAGCAGAGTTGGGCCTGACTGAGCTTGGATGGGGGAACACCTGGGGAGATTGGGGCTAGAGAGTCCAGGTTTTGGCCACCTAACCTTGCTAAACATGCTGGGTAATACGAAACACAGGGCTCTTAATCACGCTAATAACAGAACACGTTTCCATTGGAAAGATCTGCCTAAAAGAATCCTTCAAATATTATAAATTTACTACACAGAATCGAATTCATCCTTCTTAGAACAGAGATGGAATTTCTGCCTTTAGAATTTATTTTTTATTTTACAAGTTCTACATTTCAAAGTTAACTTTTCTTGTCAAATACTGAAATTCATCTTCATTAAACAGTACAACAGACAACCAGGCTCCTATGTCATAATGTAACCTTAAATTGTATTTAAAAATAAATTTTTAGGGCCAGGCACGGTGGCTCATGCCTGTAATCCCAGTACTTTGGAAGGCCAAGGCAGGCAGATCACTTGACATCAGGAGTTTGAGATCAGCCTGGCCAACATGGAGAAACCCCGTCTCTACTAAAAATAAAAAATAAAATAAAAAAATAGCTGGGTGTGGTGGCATGCATCTGTAATGCCAGCTACTCGGGAGGGTGAGGTGGGAGAATTACTTGAAACTGGGAGGCAGAGGTTACAGTGAGCAGAGATCATGCCCCTGCACTCCAGCCTGGGTGATGGAGCAAGACTCCCTCTCAAAAATAAATACATAAATAAAAATAAATAAATACACGAATATTTAGGTTGTGATAAAATAATACACAAAACAAAAAATTTACCATCTTAACTGTTTTTAAGTGTATGGTTCAGTAGAGTTAAGTATATTCACATTGCTAGGCGACCAGTGTCCAGAACTTTCTCATCTTGTAGCTGTGAGACTCTATGGCCACCAAACAATAGCTCCCCGTTTCCTCCCCCACCAGTTGCTGCCAACCCCCTTCCCCATGCGGGGAGAGAGGGCCCCCCATGGGGAGCTGTCATCTACAGCCGACCCTTCTTTTTCCATGAATTTTATCACTCTGGGTACCTCATCTAAGTGGCATGATACAGTGTTTGTCTCTTTGTGACTCAGCATAATATCCTCGAGGTTCACCCATGTTGCAGCATGCATCAGAATCTCCTCCCTAAGGCTGAATCATATTCTATCGTATGTATACGCCACATTTTGCTCATCCAAGAACCATCCATGGGCACCTGTGCTATCCGCACGTCCTGCTTATTGCGAGTCATGCTGCCACAGGCCTGGATGTACAAATTATCTCTTCAGGACTCTGTTTTCAATTCTGTGGGGTCTATACTGAGAAGTGGAGTTATTGTATCATACGGTACTTCTATTTTTAACTTTTTGAGGAACTGCCATACTGTTTTTGTTTTTTTGTTTTTTGTTTTAAAGATGGGGTTTCACCATGCTGGCCAGGCTGGTCTTGAACTCCTGACCTCAGGTGATCCACCCACCTCAGCCTCCCAAAGTGCTAGGATTACAGGCGTGAGCCACCGTGCCTGGCGAGCTTCTTACGGCAGCGGCATTATTTTACATTCCCAACAATAGTGCACAAGGATTCCAATTTCTCTACATCCTTACCAACAACTTGTATTTTCTGGGTTTTTTTAAATAGTAGCCATCCTAATGGATGTGAAGCTTAAAATTTAAGTTTAGAGTTTACAGTAAAAGGCTGCCTCGGTCAATGAAATATCTGAAATCAATGAGAAGCCAAATAAAGCATTATCTTATGTTAGGAAAGCGCACCCTTTTCCTATTATTTAGCGAAGCATCAGCTGGATTGGAGAGAAAAGGCTGAAGCTAAAGAGGCCAGTAAGGAGCTTACTGCAATCACTGAGCTGAGAGCTACTGGGCAGGTGAACTTGAGCAATGCCAAGAAACCTAAGGATAAAGATGCCAGGGACACTTCAGAGGTGAAATTGACATTGATTTTCACGTGATTGTATGTTGGACACAAGAAGAGTCGATGATAGCACTGAAGCTGCAAACGCAGATGACTGGGGGAATCAACGTCACACACAGAATGGGAGAGAAGGAGCAAGAGCCGGCGTGGAGGACCGTGTGGTGATGAACGGGCTCAACG